ATATACTGTATCTCATCTGTTTAATTTAGGAGGAAAAACTAAGTTTATTAATATAATTAGTCATTTTAAGGGTGTTATGTGCCTGGCTAGCTGTGTACAGTCCTGTCTGTAGCCTTATATTTAATGGACATACATATATTTACAGAGCACATTAATGAACATAAATATTAAAAATAGGAGATACCAAAAAAATTATAATTTCCATCCATAGTCCCTTTAGGCAGGTAACAGAAACATTACAAATTACAATCACAGTTAAAGTCAGTAAAGTCAGTAAAGACATTCTTACAGCTATAAATGCTTGTTGCTGTGAGTTAGATCTTAAATCAGTCTATAAAATGTGTTATTGGCCGTGGCTCATGAGTACTCGTGACAAAGATATATCACCTTTCTGTCAGGAGGTGGCTAACGGCTATATTTTCCATGTAGTTAAATGTATTTGTGTTGTATATTAGAATGGAAAAAAGGCATTTACTTTTATATTACTAAAGGTTAAAGGTTAAGGTTACTTTTCTTTAAAGACTGGAAAAAATTTGTTTCTTTTACCCCAACCCACAGCTGAATGCAACATATGAAACACACTATCAGTAATACCTGTGTGTTCACTGAAGGAAATTACTTAGTAAAGTAATTTAAGCTGTTGAGGCAACGTGGGTAGGCTATACCAGAAAAGTGAAAACATGCCATTGCACAGTAACTCCCAGAATACAGAGAATATTATTGACTAAAATGAAATAGTGCTACTGTGTGATGGATATGATGCGTTGTGTGGAATAATCAAATTAGCATCAGAATTAGTATTTTTATGCAGAAAATCAACTGAACATGTGTTAAGGATTATTTTGTTATCATGTTTGATGGACCTGTTTTGTTGTAAAGTAAACTGTGTGTGGTCACCAGCTCAGGTGTATGTCTGGATCTATTGTTTGCAGATACCACAGTGGTCATTATTGTTTCGGTGAGCCTGGCTCTTCTGGTTTGTGCCATTATACCTCTTATATTCTACGGACACTGCCGGAGTAACCCGGGTGAGCTACACACACAATATTTTGACTCCGCAGTGTGATCTCAAACCAAAACTGACCATTCACATGTGCATTTACACACAGTTTAATGCATTTTGTTCCTTGTTTGTTTCAGAAGGTCCTGACGCAAACAAGGGTCAGGTGAGTGGCCCTTTTGCCATTTACCAATCTTCCTTTTGATTAAAGTGTTCATCTCCAGTGACAATGTTTTAAGCATTAAAGTTTACAGCTCAGATAAAATTAGGCTTAGTGAGGATTCTTGTTTATTTCCAGGCTGATTACTGCGAGGAAAATGCAGATGTTGCCTCCACCCAGGCTCCAGTGAGGCTGCAGTCTTTAGAACCAGATGCTGATCCAGAGTCCAGTGCTCAGGCTGCTTCCCAGTATACTGCCATCTACCAAGCACTCGATCCAAAAAGTCTGGACTGAGCAGGGTTTATTCTGTTCCTGAGCTGATGACTAATCTCACCCTCCTCTTTGTATCTGGAATCAAATAAAGGAAAAATATATATAGAATATATTTCTGCTTGAGTGCATATTCTCCCTTTGCATGTCTCATTTAGTATATAGAGTTAATTATCTGTGGCACATTACAGTTTCTTACAATGATAATCCTCAGTGACACGCTTGCTGTCCTCCTCATCTTCCAGAACAGGAGTTAGTTCACTTAACATAATGAATAAATCTCAGTCAGACACATCGGGTGCTGCCTGATGAAAGTGAATAAGAAATGGGGGCGTGTAGATTTGCAGGATGAAGCTAATATGTGCCGCACAAAGCGGAAGATTTAAAATGCTTAATTAAAACAAATCCAACAAAGTAATAAAGTGTATTACAAATTACATTGTAATGTGTGTTTCCTTTTTATGTATGCATTTACTGTCATAAGTAGATGAACATATCTAAATTCACAATTATTTAGCATTTGTTCTTTTGTTCTTTATTTTGACATACATTTTCCATACCACATTAAAATTAAATCATAACTCAAAAAACAATGTAAAGTGGTGTATTATATTTCAGTGTTGAGCAGCAGAAAGCAGCTTAAACCTGCCAATATTAAATGCACCACTATCATTATTTGTCATGAGGATGTACCAGGGACTGCAATGTTTTCCTGTCATATGATACAGTAAATGCACATTAAAAAAGAAAATACATACATTGCTGAGTATTGTATTTTACTTTATTCCTTTATTTGATCAATTCAAGCCTTTTAAATCTTCCATACGAATGGGTTGCTGATATATTAGACAAAAAGGTAAGGCTACAGAGACAAGTATGTTCATGTAAATAAGATAATGGTGTGTTCCAGGGACAGAAATACAACACAATAATGCACACTGGACATAAGGCACTACTGGACTCGCTACAGCCTTGTCAGAGAGTCCATTTCTGCTGCACTTTAAGATGTTGAGTTATTCTTCTTACAATCCAAAGTACTGTTGCAGTAAGAACTGCAGAGGGTGCTACTGTGCACATGTTAGGGTTCAACATGACCACTCTTAAATCTCTCAATCACCTCCTGAAAGCTCCATGACTGTGAATCCTTTAGAAACCTTACAATGTATATTCTTAAAGATGACATTTGAACCACTAAAAAAGTTTGTTGTCACCCATTTAGTTTCTGCTCATCTTCCTCTCACATTGTTGTGAAGATCTGCAGAAACCAAATGCACCAAATGCAGGACAGAGTGACAGTAAACAATTGTCAAGTTTATAAGATATATATGATATAAGAATTCATTGGTGATAATAAATATCATAATGAGTTTAATGTATTAAGAATAAATAATAACAACAATAATGATAATATTAATATTATTATTCATTAATAATAATAATAATTATTATTATTATGCACATGCACAAGTCTGCTGAATTGTGCTGATTGCTTAGAAAAACTGTGAGTCACTAACTTTCCAGGAAGGTCAAAAAAAAAAGGTCAAAGAGATCTTGTCATTGTTTTAACACACCCACCCACCAGTGCTGAAGTGCTGAAGAGACCTTTTACTTAAGCCACCACACATCTACAAACTTTGTGAAAGGTGTCTTAACCACAATGACTCACATCTGCAAGGTTGTTTTCTTTTAATGTGTTCTTTACAATAGAGTCTTTTTCTAGCTTTTACATACGGTGCGCCTAAACACCCAATCTGTAAGTGTTTTAGCCATAATAAAGACAGCATCAGAAAACATTGATAACTCACTTTTAGATGTCCTGTGATGTTAGCACTAAAATAAAACACTGTAATATTGTCCTTTAACCTTTGATATGCAGAACTTGTTATAGATATTTACACCAGCAGTCATGGAGCTGTAGTTTGGAGTTGTGTTTCTGTCCTCCTGATAACTTTAAGACTAATATTCACTCTCTGTTGGCTCTGTTTTTGGTCTCTAACATTTCCTGAGGCAAATATCTGACTCTTTAGCTGCTAAATGTTCCACTGTGTTTACCGGCCAGTCACTAACTGTGTCTGCTGTTTGTGGTTGAGTAGGGGGTGTACGGTGGATTTCGCTAAACAATGAGTGGAAACTCGCTATAAAGCTAAAGTTGAGGGGAGCTGGAGGTTCAGGCGGTAATTCTCTGTATAGATTCATTACTACAACACATTGTCATTCGATACATTGTTATCATAAAAAAATATCGACTATAGCAGCTTTAAAGCTATTCTGTATTGTGATCTGTATGTATTTTTTCAGAAGTAGATCTGAAGAGAAGCAGTAGTAGAGTGTCGTTTGGTATGTTATTGTGGTATTGAATTTCAGTTGGTGGGAGTGTGGGAGTACTTCAGAGACACTGGTCCTCTCACTTCATCTTTCTTCACGCATGTTTCTGTTCTGTTCTGTTAATGTCTTCCGTAAATGTACAGCCCTCATGTTCCACCTTTGTACAGTTAAAACCACAACAAGATGTTAGATAACTGAAGCTATTTCATTTGCACCAGATCGTGTAGTGGTAGACCATGGTGTAACATGTAATCCCTGTTAACTTAAAAAGCATTTAAGATAACAGTTTTGTTTTTTTTTACAAATGTAAATGTACAAACCCTGGAGGGACTACCCAGAATAAGAAAAAACTACAACGCTGGCACTTCACAATGAAGACCATTTATGTCTTCTACTGTCTTCTTTATGGTAAGTGGAAATATAGCTATTGATTATTGAAACAACTCAAAGATGCTTTAACTCATCACAATGGTTTTATTTTGGCAGCTACATGGACAGAGGGAAAGAGCATCAGTGTAGAGGGATTCAAGAGGGGAGAAGTCTCATTCCAGTGTTCACACAAAGTTGCGTGGCTCTACGATAAATACCTCTGCCAGGATCCATGTAAAGGCCAGCAAGATAAACTGTTGACTGTAGGATCTGGTAAAAGAGCAGAGTCGGGGAGGATAACACTGGTGGACTTGGGGAACGGAGCCTTCACTGTGACCTTCAGTCAACTCCAGCTGTCAGACACGGGGAGGTACTGGTGTGGAGTGGACAGGCCTGGTTGGGATACATTCACTGAAGTACAGCTTACTGTAAAGGAAGGTATGTATATGATCTTATCACTCTTACCTTGAATAAGATAAAGCTTTACACTGACTGACTGTTTCTGCATTTGTGAATACACACTACACACTACTATATTCCTTTTTACTGCACTATATTTATCTGAGAGCTAAATACAATGTGTTTTTATAATAAATCAGTGGTTCCCAATGTCTTTTGGGAGTGTGTTGTGTTTGGTTGAGGCTCTGTGTCACACTTTACAGATTCCACAGAGATTTCCACTTTAAAATTCTTAGATGGTTTTATTAAAATAACAGTTCAACATTGTAAATCATAATCACATATCTTGATAAAAGAAGTAAGTTAACATAATTTAATTCTTAAAAATGTTCTAGGCACTCATTCCCATTTGTGCAGTATTTTAAGTATTGGTGATATATTTCCAGGTTGTTCCATTGACTCATTTCCTTTAAATTGTTTTTATGTCCCCAAATAAATTCATTGTACATTGTTTTTATAGTACATCAGCTGTTTCAACAGGTATTGTATGAATTTGCTTTACTGGAAGAACTGAGTAAATCAATTTAAGTGGTAACATTTGTATAAAGAAGATGCATTTAAGTTAGTCTTACTTTATTCAGATAAATTATATATTATAATTATATTTTAAATAAGTTTGGAGAAATGCTGCATATTTGCGTAACATACCTACTAGTTTTAAGCACAATTCACTTAATTTAAGATAAGGTAAGAAAAGATGTACCTTTATTGATCCCCGTAGGAAAAATTCAAGTCAGACACAGCAGCAGGGGAATGTGGTGCAAAGAGTACAGAAGTGTACAAGTACAATAAGAATCCCAATATAAGAATATTGACAAAATATAATAGAAGATGTAAGACTATAATGGAAAATATATACACTATATGCAATATGCCGTAAAATGGTGTGCAATATTTTTTTGCAGTTTTTTCCTATGAAAAACTAAACTAAACTGTACATGTACAAACTTAAAGATTAAAGATAAATAGTTTAAATAGTTTGTGCCAGAGTTTGGTTTAAGTTAAGACTTAGTCAGCGAGGATTGGAGGTACTGGGTGTACTGGGTGCTGTGGCGCTGTGGAGTCTAATGGCTGATGGTACAAACAAGCCTCCAAATTATTTTTTATTTTACCTTAACAATAAATGAGTTGCTTGTACTCAAATATTTCTTAATGCTTAAATCCTTGAAGTTAATACATTTAAACTGTTTATTGCAATTGGTTTCCTCAAACAGTACTAGTAAAGATTAGATAAAAATGTAAAAATAAATAGAAATGTGTGTATCAGAACTGTTCTTTGCAACCCCATTAGCGTAATCATCTCATGAACCTCAGATTCATCTTGTGACCCTCACAAGGGGTGCCGACCCCTCGGTTGGCACTACCTAACTGTATGTGAAGTAGTTAAATGAGCTCCACCTCGAGCAGCTGCAGCAGTAAAGTGTGTCTTAAGTGTCACATAATAATACATCACTCACAGTACCATTTACTACATAATTACTCCTTTTGTTTTTGATGCTTTGGGTATATTACTTAAATCATTGTACTTGTATTTTACTAGGATTTCAAATACTTCTTCCACCATTGTTCCCCATACAGCTGCAAATGAGACAACAACTACCGTACCTGGACTTTCTCCTACATGGACATATCAGTTCATTTCCAACTCAACACAGTTGTTATTTGGAACAGTCACCAGTAGGCCTACAAACTTTTCAACAGGTAGGAAAAAACAAATATTACTATTATTAAAACTTACAAATATAAATCATAGATAAACATACAGAAAGTAATATTCCATCCAACCTTACAGCCTCAAACTGCACTGATGGAGGAGAACAGAACATCAGCACAGGTGACTCTCCATCTTGTCATTTTAAGTGTGCGGTAGGTGCATGAACATTAGCTGGCGACTGACACTTGTGCATATGTACAATTGTTGAGCCAGCTTTCTTGTTTTTGGTCAGGCGCTGTGCTGTATGCTACTGTCGGGGTTGTTTCCATGCTCGCTATCTTGATGCTGGCAATGTGCTTCAGGAAATATAGAGGAAAGTCAAAACCTCAACAACAGGTTTGCTCCAACACCACAGACGTCTTCATTGCAGATGAAAGCGAGGTATGAGAAAGAAACTGGGGCTCAACATGTCCCTTAAGTGCACAGCTAACCCTAACCCTTCCTAGAGAAACATGACGATAGTCTTGACAGCGAATTAAAGTAAGCTGAGGAAAATCAAGTTTCTTTTCCTGTTTCAGAGGTTAGTGTATGAACAGGGGTTTTTCATTAGTCCACATTTCTCTTTATTTTGTGTGGGAATGCTTTAAAGGTCCAGTGTAACATTTAGAGGGATCTGTTAGCAGAAATTAAATATAATATTCATGATTTTTTGGTGAGCTTTAAAGGTGCTGGTAGGTGGATTTTGTTACTTTTAGACAGGCTAGCTGTTCCCCCTGCTTTCATTCATTATGGTATGCTAAGTTATCCATCTCCTAGTTGTAGTTTCATATTTACTAAACAAACACAACAGTGGTATTTTGGGTACCAAAGAGGGTACACCAGGGCTTTCCAATGGGGTGCCCGAGGACACCTGGTAGGCCACAGAGCATATCCTGTAATCTCAATCTTCATGTTATTAATCTCATCACTAATATTTACTTACTTACTAATATTTAATACCCAAATGGCAACTGAAGCCAACTTTCTCTGAGTTTTAGATTTTCATGATCTATCAATGAATTGGTTTACCTTGATTAAATTGACTTAAACCTTGACCTTTAATTGACTCTCAGTTCATATCAGTATATTTCTAGAAAGATATTTCAGTGTTAATACCAAAACCAAAACAAAAAAACACTTTCACACCCGCAATACAAAATCAAATTGGTTCAACCCTGTAAATGACAACAAAATTACTCATATACTCACTACTATGTTATTCTATTGAAAGTATCAATAGATGTTTGTCATCTATACTTCAGCTGCCTTTTGGTAGCCCTGACTCTCACAAAGGTTGGAGACCCCTGGTGTACGTGTGGGTGTATTACAGTTCCCTAAGAAGAGTCCTTATTAACTGTCACCTCATTAAGTGGTTTACAAATATGGATTTTACACAGCAGACAGCATTAAATAATATTCTTGCAAAATTGTGGAAAATAACATAATAACATTTTACTCATATGTCCAGTGTCAACATTTTCGGCAATTTATAAACAACATTTGCTCATTATGTTAATAGAAAACACAATTTGGTAGGTATTACATGTACGTCAAAATCTACATCACTAAACTTTATATGATATCCATACATATGTTTTACTGAGTCGATTCAATACAGAGGCCAATAAGATGTAGAACATATAATACCAGCTGATTTGATGTTGTTTTTTTGCCATTTTCAACAGGATGACCGTGTGTATGATGAGATTGGCGAGGAAGTGCAATCTCTAAAAAAATGTGAGAGGTTCTTTAGCACACAGACCCCAAAACAGGACCCACCGACGTCTGCGTCCACAGAAGCCGAATGCAGCACACCCCTTCATATCTATGAAAACATCTGCTGCTCCAAAGTTACTGCAGATTCAAGATGTTCAGCTGCAGGCGTCCAAGGCAAGCATGGCTCTAAGAGCTCCGGTGTCTACATCCAACTATTGCCATCTACAATATCTGAAAGGACTGATGAAAGCTCTGTTGGGGAACACAAAAATAAACCTTCAGCAACCAGAAAAGCGACAAGCAAAGCTACAGAGAGCAGAGAACAGAGTGGTTGTCACTCTAGATCTCGCAGTGATTCCACCGAAGGGAGGCCCAAATCACGTTGGTTTGGTTTGGATCTATCAGGAATAGTCTGAGTTACTCTCAAAGGTGTAAACTGTATGTGTTATGCTGTTTCTCCAATTATAAGTAACATTTATCTTTTAATGTTTTTTCTTTGCTGAGTGCATGCATTGATTTTCTGTCTGTGTGCCTACAGCGGGGCAATCTTACGTTTTACAGTAAAGAGGAAACCTAGTTTCACTGAGTTACTTTACATACTTTTGATTATTTGTTTCACTTTACTTGGAAGTTAGTACTTTATAGAGAATAGTGAGAGAGGAAGGATGGGTCTCAGATGGATCAGGCTGTAAACAGGAATCGCTTACAATATCGTCAAATCTAATACTACAGCCATATATCAAAATGTACCTTTATAAAGCTTAAAGTGTTTTTCTGCAGTGCTATTGTTGAGGGGTCTTTTAAGATCTGTAACTTCACTGTGTTCCTGCATTTGATTGCATTCATGTATGAAAAGTGCTGAGTAAATATAGTTTATTGTTATTGCTATTATTAATGGGATTTTATTTGAGAGCATTGCTATTGCACAGAAACAGTGACGTTGGGGGGAAAATGGTTTGAAGTTTAAAGGCTCTTAAACAAACGGTGTAACGTAGATAAATTGTAAATTGTATGTCTTTTTCGGCTTATGATTATAATTATTATTGATCATTGTCCCAGACAACCATTTAGATCCTGAACAATCTCAGTGTCGCAGGGAAACCAGGCATCTACATACAAAATAAGTTATTGTTTCATCAGCTTTCTTGTCCATGTAAACTTACAAGCTACTTTAATTAATCTTTAATAAAATAAATTTAAATATGTGAGGTAAGGTATTTCAACCGTGTGAATTCCTCATTAGTCAGATACACATTTGATTGTGTGTTTGCAGTTAGTAAGAGTATGTGACTATGTAGATGGAAGTTTAAAGTCCCACTCCACTCAAAAATCTGTATTGCTTCTACAGTTGGATGTTTGCAGAATGTGCAGAATGATTTATGTGCAGAGATTGACAACAGAAGGATGTTTCCACATTCATTTGCTGAAAGTGAAAGTTTCTCTGTTCATTGAAAATCAGATTTTAAGGGGCAGGGGCTATGAGCATGATTTGTGACATCACAAATAGTTAATCCTGCAACTTATAAAAGTGTGATGAAACCTGAAGCCACCAGTGCACACACACTGAAAAAGGACTCTACAGTGAAGAGACATTTTGTGTCCAGCAGGAAAAGTTTAGAAATGTACAAAAGTTGCATATTCATAGATTCTTAATTTTTTAATGAGGTAGAAGAAGTAGATTACTTTTTGTTTTTTAATTATTACTTAAGTATTTTGATGTCAAAATTAAACTTTTTTGTGGAATAAACATATCACACACACATTATTGTTCCAAGCTGACTATTTTTATATATGTGATAACACACGTCTGGGGGCCACTGCAGCAAAGCCCACCTGTAGGCTTACTACGCCCACCATGGGGCTTACTACGCTTACTACCAGGTAAGCAACCAGGGCATCCCTGGAGGGGGAAATATTTGTGCTTTAAAATACACATATCTGCACTTTTGGACTGATGCCTCAATGAGTAGTAGTAGTGTAGTATGTTAAAGGTTCTGACTTTGGTGACTCCTAGTGGTCATATCAATAAAGACACTGTGGCAGACACCTTTGATATAACGTTAATATAGCCCACAAAATCACAATTTCCTCCATTACTGTAAAACTGTGAAACGTCTTCTCTATCTTGTGTGTACTATGGGGCAAAAAAACTGTGAAAATTTCAAAATAAATAGCCAAAAAAAAAAGGATGTTTAAGGCTTATTTGCTCTGATAATTATAAAAGACATTATTCCTTCTTGAATTTTCCTCTGATCAAATAGTAGAGAGAAAGGATGCAAGCCAAGAGGCAATATTTAAAGAGAGTAATGAAAGCACAGGTTCAATTAAATATCACATCTTCATGAACTTGTCAGTAAAATGTTAAAGGAAAATATTGCAGCCTGTTGTTGTTACACAGATAAGATTTGATAATGCATGTTAATATATAGATGACAAATTATAACAGTGGCACTTTTTAATAAAGTATACATTATAAAGGGTTGGTAAGCATTTTTTTTTACACTTTTTTTATGTATATATATAGCGATCTATTTACATGGAGCAAGTTTAGTATTCATTTGGTGACAAATTTTTCTGGCCTCCGGGTGAATGTAAGTCCAATATTCACTCTCCTTTCAACCATGTTATCTCTCAGTAAAGTCAGCTCAGTAAAGTTTTGAGCTGTAAAAACTAAAAGATGCTAAAACACCGCACAGAGCTGTTAACTGCAGAGTCTGATGATAATTTTCCTTGGGTACCATTCACATTATACATAGTCATTTGTCAATGTAAAAATATTTATTGATGCCCCTCACAATTGTTAATAAATCATCTATTAATGATTTATAGTTGATTTATACAATAACAACATATGGGTTAGCACACTGTAAAAAATCCATGTAATTGTTAAGAAGCACAAGTACAGTCGGTGATGAGTGGAATGAGATTGCCTTGAACAATGTGGCATCTTAAACCTGTATTGTTTTATATATAAATATATATACATAAAGGTGTTGTAAGGTGTTATAGAGGAGTTGTATAGCTGAATTGTGACTTAAAGGTCACTTTTTGAGTCACACAACCCACCATTATTTCACTTTCATAGGTTGAACGTTATGTGTGAACTGCTTCGTACATGAAAGAGGAAGAGGTTTAAACACATGGACATGAAAATACCTGATTTAAGGCACAGACAGGTTGCTGCCTCATTGTGCAGCTGAGGAAGAATCTGAGTGTGTGGACTGAAGGTAACTGGGAGTGATGGGAGCGACCTGGATCTCATGGAGAACAACTACAACTGTCATCCTTACTATTTTACAAATCCAAGGTGGGCCGTATGTTATGCATTTAGACTTTTAAAGCTGATATAATAGACTTTACTTAATTTTTGACTTTTTATGAAAACACTTGATTACACAATTTTGCAACTAACAAAGCTCATTCTGACTGACAGCTCTGATCAGTGTCGAAACCAAAGCTGTTACTGGTGTGGAAGGTCAGAGATTTGACTTCAGATGTAACTATCAAGACAGCCAGCAGAGCAACGCGAAGTACCTCTGCTATGAGAATGACAATGTGTCCAGCAATCACCTTATATGGACAGATAAACACAACAAGTGGGTGACAAACGGACGTTTCTCTCTGTACGACAACACCACCGGGGCCTTCTTCATTGTCAGGGTGGACAAACTCAACTCAGAGGACAGCGGGATGTACTGGTGTGGGGTCGACATCAGCCAACACCCTGATCATATCAGTGTCATACAACTGAATGTTTCCCGAGGTACAGTATGCCATGTCACCGCACAGGATCACTGTTAACTCCATATATAGGATTTTCTGTTATGCACATTTGATCCATTCGATTATATAAGCATACAATAAATTCTTGTTTGCTATAGTTTCTGTCCAGCTGGTGTTTTGCAATCTAAAAAAATGTCAGGCTGCTTATACTGTAAATGAGAACTAAGTGGTGTTACTGCCCTCCCACACGTTCCTCTTATTCTGAACTTTCTATTTCTACAGAAATACTAGTATATATTAGTTATTAAAGTTTTTGCAGTTTCTTCACATTTGTTAGTTTTTCTAAAGTAGTTTTTTTTTCTGCATTTCAACAACAGCAAACCTTATACATTACAGTAAGTGAGATCTACATTACACATCAGGCAGCTCAGTGTTTCTTTATCTGATTTTTGTATATAAATACTTTGTTGTATTCGTGCTTTCCAGGTACTGTATCACCCAATTTTCAAAAGGACCTCACAGTGGACAGTGAGTGATGTGTGTGTGAGTGTATGTGTGTGTGTGTGTGTTCTTCTGTATTCATAGTGTTCATAATTTTATGTGTGTACAAGTAAATCTCACAGGTAAACTTCAGTGTTTGTTCTTTCCTGCAGAGCTCAATCTGCCGCTGTACCTGACTGCAGTGATGTGTGTGGCAGCGTTACTGGGTGTGTGTCTGTTTACACTTTGTCTTCTGTTGGCTGTTAAACAGCGAAGACCAGGCCCACGGCAGAATAGAGAGGTTTGTCCACAACAGAAACTTGTTGCATGACTCTAGAGAGTACCACCGCCACTATTGTCCAGACTGACGGAAATATCTCAGCAACTGGGGATGAATTGGCATGAAACTTGGTACAGTGCCCTAAGGATAACTCGTAATAAGTTTGGTGATTCTCTGACTTTTCATGTATTGCCACCATCACCATCTCCACCATCAGCCTCAGCCGTACTGTGTTTAGTGCTAATAAGCAAACTGTAAGCTGGATTTATAGTCAATGCAAGAGGTTAATGGAAGGCGGTTACATTTTTTAGGAGGTGCACATCACTTATGTCGTAGTCTATGGTGTAACCTTGGAGGCTACGCACATATCCACCACAGGCATGCAGTCACCCCTTAACGTACACATATAAATCCAGCTTTAGTACGCTACCACACTAAACTAAGATGGTAAACCATGATAATCATCATAGCATTGTCATTGTGAGCATATCAGCATGGTATTTTTAGCATTTAGCTCAAAGCAACAATGTGCAACAAATACAGACTCAGAGCCGCTGGCTGTAGACTCTTAGTTTGGTTTGCCTACTGAAAATACCACACTGTCCAGTAGACACATACAGATTGCATATAGAGAATAATGTGAGAAGCATGCAAGAAGCAGTTCACTGTCAACAGGTTTCTCTTCCCACAGTTTTCATCTGACTACGAGACAATGATGCCTGGTGTAAGACCTGAACCTGAACTCTGCTGCAGCTGTTCGTGTTCAGACTCTGCTCTTTCAGCTTTAGCGCCTCCACCACCTGACCTCTGCTCCCACTTCACATCAAAGCAACGGGAGTCCACTGTGACTCTCGGCCAGGGTGATTATGTCGATGTGGACGTACCAGCGCACATCTGCCACTACCAACATCTGGATCTCAGCAGCTTAGAGGAGCACGTCTATCACTGCCTTAATGGAAACAGCAGGCCTAAAGACGGACCTCTGGGAGTCAAAGAGCAGATAATTGTTGATACTCTTAAAGGGTGATTTCAGGTTACAACTGCTATTTTTGAAGCTTTGCCTATCATTTCATTCTTTTATTATACCTAACAAATCCGGCAGAAAGTATGTAATGAGTGTTATTATTAATAGGAATGATGACCAAAACTGCAACAAAAAGAATGAACTTTACTATGGATGACATAGAGTTGAAGGGGCGTTGGCCAATTCAAAGGTTAATGATTGAGATTGATTGAGTCAAGTATTTTTAGTGGGTTTTTTTTTTTGTTATGTGCTTTGTTTTTTGTTTTGTCTTTTTACCGAATTTTGTTATTTCTGGATGAAAATGCACCACTGACACTGACTGAAAACAGTTATCACAGTCTGAGCAGGACTCTCAACTCAAGGTGCCAGAGTAAACAAAATCCACCAAGAATCATGTAATTAATCAAAATAAACCAAGTGCTAATCTCTGAGGGTGTCCTTGTGTTAATTATTTACTGGCTTAATTGATCTTAAACATTCACAGTGAGACAGCACAAGATAGGAGGGGTGTTGTGATGCGTTTCCCATGGTTCAAGTGGTTTTGTAGGGAGATTTAGACAGAGGAAGTTGGCTAGACATAGAAAGTGCAACAGCAAAGAGGAACCAATGACAAGGGCGAGTTGTCCTTCATTTGGACAGAATTGCGAAGACATGAAATCCCAGTGAGATAACAAAAAGGCAAACGAAGACGCACAAATCGTATGAGTAGCATGGAGATGATTTTCCTAATGTTGGTCTGTCTACTGGGAGGTACGTTTAACAGGAGGAATTCTTTTGTCCCTCTGTCTCTCTTCCTCTATCTGAATGTTTGGTGTTTTTTGTGGTTGTGAGATTTCTCAGGTGGACGTGTTTTTTGTTTCAAATTCGCCCTTCCTGATTTCTGCAGACTGCCACTAATTCTCACAGGCTTGCTGTTGTTTTTGAGCCTATACTGTAAACTTTGTTGATTTTCGAAACACTTTGAGTGAGCTTGAGCTTCTCTAACGTCTGTTTTTATCTGTAAAATACTTTTACTTTTTCAGGCCTCTAACAATAATTTAAATGAAACAATAAAAACAATATAAACTGCCATCAACTAATAAACATATGTACGTAACCTGGGTCAGGGGCCAGAAAGCAGATGGTCAGAAACCTTAAAAAGAAACCACTGCTTTAAGGTACAGGATAAGTCTATCAGGTTGATAAGGTAGTTTACAAAAGAAATTGGTAAGGTCAACAGCTGGTTGCAAATCAAATGAACATCTGACCTTTGTTGCTGTCTGTGTTTTTTGTGCAGGGCTATGGGAGACTGAAGCTATGACAGTGACAGGAGAGTTGAAAAAGGCAATCACAATAAAATGCTCTCACGTCAACGCATTTTCCAACGTCAAATATTTCTGCAAGGGAACATGTGAAAATGAAGACATGTTAATAAGAAGCACAAAAGCGACGGAGGCTTCGAATGAGAAATACAGGATTAGAGATGAAGGAAACACATTCTACGTCACCATTTCTCATCTGACAAGCGATGACTCAGGAACTTACTGGTGTGGAATAGACAGATATGGTAAAGACACATACAATGAAATAATCCTCACAGTCATAGAGGGTGAGTTGATTCATCACTGTTTCTGTGTCATCTTTTTTTTGTTATTCTTCATCACTTACAAGATAAAGACCTTTGTTCCACTTCCTTTTCACCTAAATAAGATCAGTATTTCCCAACACTTTCAGTCTCACACTGATCTGCTCTTTTCACAGCAGACTTTACAGGAAGGAAATGCACAACAGAAAAAAAGTCACTGAGAGTCATGGAACAATATTCAAATAATTCTGTCTTTCTTTTTTCTTTCAGGACACAAAAAGGCCCCAGAGACAACACAAACAATTTCAAATTCAAAAGTGTCCTCCTCTAGTAAGCAGCTTTCTGTTTGTGTTTAGAAGTGTATCTGTGTTAGAGATTAAGTCCTGAGTGATACATCATCACTGAGACATCTGAGACATCACGGTGTCTTTTTCAGAGAAGCTGGTGTACATTGGCGCAGGTCTCGGAGTGGTTGTGCTGGCTCTGGCGATGGTCCTTCTCATATTCTTCAGACATCGGAGCAGAGACATCAGTGCATCTCCTGGTATGACAACAACAGACTCATACTAATAAGTTTTGCAGCGTGTGTTTTGTTAGTATGTGCTATATATAGCCATCGTATTGGAAAAACACTTTAAAAGTACAAAGCGGTAGTGCACACAACCAACTAGCAACAATAACAAAAGATCAAGTTTGCTGATGTTGTGAAGTGGGATTATGGGAGTTATTATGTCACCACTGCCATCACTGCAGTCAGCTTCTCCCGGAGTGTGTTTATCCTTCGGTAGGTTTTGAATATTTTCACTTGGTTATCCACAGAGATCCCTCTGTCTCCTCTTCTACGAAACAAACAGGCCCACTGATTTTAACTGAAAACACTGAAGAACACAGTTTCACCGTAATTATCAGTGTTTCTCCGATGCTATCTGTCAGATAAAGAACGTCCAGGAGGCACAGTGAGCCGAGAAACAACCAAGATCTAAAAAGTGTATTGTAAAAATGTAGCTTAAAATTGGATAAAAAGTCAAGCTTCTGCAGATAACCACAACTCTGAACATTGTTGAAAACATTTGGCATAATGTAACTCAAAAAAATATATAATGTAGGTCAAGCATTTTTTAACATTTTAATGTGGAAAAAGTTACTTGTTATATCTTGAAAGGATTTTTTTTTACATGTAAAACGTAATGTAATGCAAAAATGTTGTTTTCATTTCACAGGGATTTGAAACTTGATTTAAAACTCAATGTATCATCACTCTCCATACAGGAAAGGTCCAGGACACGGCCTATGCAACACCATTCTGTCAGAAACAAGATGCACACCACATCACTACTCCTTCTTCAACAGCCAATGAGCATCAAGAAACAGATGGCAGGACAAACACAATCTGCAGCTCGTCGTCCGTGCAGCACCAAGACAATGTTTACACCAACGTGACCGTTTCATCAGCGTCTGAGATCCAACCGGACAGCCTCCTCTACTCCAGTGTTAGCTTCGACAAACACACTGACTGCACTGTCACAGTTCACACAGCAGCGGTTACGTACTCCGCCATTAATTACATAAGAACAGATGAATCAGCAGTCTATTGCAATGTCGGAACTCAGAGCTGATCACTTCATTATTAAGTGCAAATCTCCCTTTGTTGTAAGAAACGTGTTACGCTAAACACATTTCTGTTCTGTTTTAAGTATTGTCTGTGTGTTTCTGTTTATGGCTGACTGTGGTGAAGAAATATGTGTTCACTTCACACCCACAATCCACAATAAGAAGGTACACACACACACTCACACACACGCACGCACATAGCTTGAAGAGGGTGGAAACTGAAAAAGTGATATGAACAAAGGAAGAGGCTACTCCCACAGCTCTGACCTAGCTTACCCACACTTATAATTAACCTCAGTACCGTCTTCTTCATTGTGGGGCTCCAGTGGTGTCTTTTGAAAAGGATGAAAGCTTTAGATCGATTTTGCTGAAGTGGTCTGAGAGTTGGTGAAGGGCAGAGAAATTAACGATATTTATTGTACAAAATATTGTTTATTTTTCTTGGGAAGCAGTCAGACGCCAACAAGATTCACCTATCAGCCCAGGAGGGGACACTGGTTAAGACCCTCTCCCACTATGATCCTGGGTATATTTCTCAAAAGGTTATTACGGTAAAAGGTGGATTCTCATTAAAACCAATGGTAAAGAGCTCAAAAAAGGGAAGTATCTCCGTCATGATACCAAACAAAGAAACCTGCATGTGACCATATTCTGAACTTGAATAATAGTAGGAAATAAAACCAGTATATACATGTTTGAGCCTTTAATCAAGCTTAAAGTCTACAAAAGTCAAAGTCAAAAGCTCCTGCACCTCTCAAACATCCACTGGTCACCCTTAAATCCTCCTATTTCACACCGTGTGTGAAAATTATATACTGATTTTCTGGTGGCTCAGTGTCAGAGTGCCAGTAATAGATCACTGTGGTCCATACCACCTGAACATATGCATACAGCTGACACCTCACACACAACAATGCAAATCCTTTTTTTATGAAAAAAGTCAGTCTTTGTGAAAGGCAATGCAAGTTTATTTGTACATGAACTTATAAATGCAGGCAATTAGAATGCTTCATATTAGAACTGCACTGAAACTGTTATATCACCTGTTTTCTTAAAAAGGGGAAATGAAGGCTCCAGGCTATTTATAGATACTAAATGTATTCTACAAGTTTATTTTTACGTTGAATTGAAGTAAGAATTAGCAGTCATGATAAATTAAAGAGAGCCCTCTATTGTGTTAAACAGACATGATACAGCAAGAGTGGCCTCAATTTGTGTATGCCTCTGCAGCATTGATTTTTACCCACCGATTGGACCCAAATTATACTATTCTCGGCCTTAACCAGTTATCCTGGTTACAGCTGACAACAGAAGCTGTGCACATGATTATATTTGAGTTTACAGGGCTTTTATTCAACACGGTGTGTGTCCTCCAGCAGCTTCTTTACATGGAGAATCACAGCCAGGGTCAACTAAGAGAATTGGACCCATCACTCAACTTCAGTTCATCTGACAGCATGTACGCAGCAGTAACCAGTCGCAGAAGATCAGACACCCACACATTTGTCATCCAGTCACAGTCCAGACTCGGATGGCTAATTCTGCTTTGAACAGCTCAATCAGTTCCTGTCTGCAGGACGATGCTTCTGCATGGATGATCAATCAGCACGAGGAGAACATTTGCAGAGTCAGCAGGCCCTCCGCCGAGGGGAGACCAACACATCAGTGAGGACATCCATCTGCTCTAGTCCACAGTCTGCTGCACACAGAGCCAGCTGCCCAGCGCAGGGGACAGATCAGATCAGCTGCTGGACCCTCTGAGGGATGCCACCAACAGACACCCCAAAACATAGTCCCTGTTGGGGGACTATGTAGCAAAACTGGTGCTACTTTTGCTAACATTAGCTCTGAAAACTGTGCTTGTTGTCACTACATATGGTCCATGTATGTCTCACACATGCTTGTAGATGTGATGTACATATCAGTCACTATATCATATACTTCATCAGACTGTGTCATCTATCCAAATAAGCTTGCTTGTCAATCTTGTTTCCTTCTCATCTCTGTTGAGAGTTGCACATGTACAGTACCAATCGGACAGGAGTTGCACATTCATGGTGTTTAGGAGGCACGGATCAGGCACGATACCCTGTCTGAGTTTCTGAAAATATTCATCCTGGAACAGGTTTTCCAAAAGGTCAATTTTCAGTGACCTCAAATGCAGTTCGCATATGGATGAAAGGCCAAAATATTTTTTTCCTCCCCATTTAGGTGTGGACTAGGCCAAAATGTATTTCATGTGAGTTTTTACAATAATAGATACACTCTACTGTCAGTTGTTTTATGGGACATGAAGAATGACTTTTTGGAAGTAGAAGATTATTTTTTACATTAAGTGAATTTGTTTTTCTTTGTTTTTCCAGGTACATATGTTGACGCAGGATTTTAATCAGCCATTAAAGCCATATTTGAATATTCCATTGTGTTGCTGTCCCTCCAGATGGAGTGACAGATATCCCATCAGACAGGTACATCACTAGAATACCTGCTGTATATAATGGATATAAATAGCTGGTATTATAATTATTTTGATCTGAAGATAAGCAGGACATTGTGGACATTGTTCTGTGAAGTACAACTGTATTTATTTTTTCCTATGAACAGATAAAGAGATCATGAGATGCAACAGTTCAGTAATTACTCTGATTATGAGTCAACGTCAACACTCTCGACTTCTCTCGATCTCTCTTTCTCGCGTTTCACTCTCGCTGCTTAAAAATATCTACATCCTCATTCTAAAATGCAAATTTTTCTGATTAGAAGAGAAGTTGATGCAGTCTTCTTTTTGCAGAAAGACAGATGGTGTGACTGAGGGGGAAAAACAGAGATCAGAGTAGAGTATAGTGCTGTCATGAGGAATGACAATTGAGAGATTTTGTTTAATATTGGATAGAAAATAAAAAAGTAGGATTTAAACTATAAGCTGGAAAAGACAGGACTGCAACAATGGGAATATTACTAAAAGTCATCTCCTTAATGACAGGTAATTAATTGCATTCTTCTCTGTGTTTTTGTTTGATGAGAGTGAAAAATATTTTGACAAAAACCTGTTGACGATGTGACTGATGATGAAATAACCTTTTTTTTAATTATTTCTTTATAACAGCTAGTGTGAGCGTATTGTTTGTGACAGGAAACGAAGGTGGACCTGTCAACATTACCTGTAAGTACAATGAAGATGTAAAGCATCATGCAAAATATTTTTGCACAGAAACTTGCATTTCAAATTAAAACAATGGCTAGAGAATCATACCTGGCCACGTGAAGAACAGTCTTGGAAAGTACATTTGCTCAAGTACTACTTGAGTACAGTTCTGAGGTACTTGTATTTTTTATTTTCTGTTTGTACTTGACTACAGTGCAGAGTAAAAAAAATTAATGCATAGATAGAGATTAAACTACCCAGGTGTATATAAATGTTTTGTAGCAGAATAACTAAAGTTTTGAGTGTTAAATTCTTAGAGTGGCCATATAGGGAACATTTCCTTTTGGTACTATATTTCTTACCTAATATATTATATATTTCACTATTTAAGACCTGTAATTAGTTATATTATATTATAGATTAATATTGATAATCATAGTCCAGAAAGAAGTGTGCTGTGGACAGGTTTGGGTTGGACATGATGAGCTAAATATTGGAATGTGAAACAAATATCTAAATGTATGCCTTAAGGGAAAATAAAATACCAGGGGCCTCATGTACTAAG